TCTGCCTTGTTTCCTAGAATGCTTGTTTCCAGAGCTTTTGGAATGCTGAGCTTCCATCTAAGAAGTTGGACTTCCCTAAGACCGCCGTGATGAAGAGGCACATGGGAAGTTCTGGTTGAGTGGAGCCCTGCCAAGATACCAGTCATACATTCTATGGTCTAAGTGTTTACATTCCCCTCAGATTCACATGCAGAACCTTAATCACCAATGTGATGGTACTAGGTAGGAGGTAGGTCTTTGGGGAGGTGATTCCATCATGAAGGTGGTGGCTTCTGCCATGTAAGGACATAGCAAGAAGTCACCATCTATGAACCAGGAAATAGGTACTTACCAGGCCTGATCTTGGACTTCCAGCCTCTAGAACTGTGAGAAACAAGTATCTGTTGTTTATAAGTCTCCTAAATCTGTGGAATATTGTTAGAGGAGCCTAAAGGGACCAAGATATTGGTAAAGCCTTCAGGCCAGGCCATTCACCTTTACAAGCTAAATTCCTCTGAGGGACCCCACTTTTCTTTTTTTTTTTTTGGCAGTATTGGGGCTTGAACTCAGGGCCTTTTCCTTGAGCCACTCTGCCAGCCCTTTTTGTGATGGGTATTTTCAAGATAGGGTCTAGTGAACTATTTGCCCCTGCTGGCTTTGAACCGTGATCCTCCTGATCTCTGTCTCCTGAGTAGCTAGGATTACAGGCATGAACCACTGGTGCCCAGCTTGAGTGATCCCACTTAATGCCAACACGGGACTGAAAAATCACTTACCCCATGGTCCTAACTGTGCAGAGTGGAGTATGAGAAGCCTATGAGCACAGCTATGTCAAATAATCTGCAGGCTGAGATTGGCACAGCCCCTCCAACTGCAGAAGGGGGTGAGGGCAAAATGCAGCACAGCTGCTTTTTCCTAAGATGTCCAGAGAGTAGCCATCACAGGATCCTCCTCTTCCCAATAACTACAATGTCATGATGCCCCTCACAGAACTGCTGCTCTAGTTCCTGGTTTGCCGCTGTAAATAATAAACTCGCTGGAGGTGGTGGAGGCTGTTGTGTGTTTCCACCAGAGCACCTAGCTCACCTGACCCCAGCTTTCTGCATGTTTGTCTTCTGTCTTTTGTCCTTTCTCAATCTCCCGCTGCTCTCAGTTAGGTTTGTAGGATGAGCTCACGCAGGCTGTGAGACCTAACCTGCAAAATTAGGAGATATAATGGTCACTATTTCAAGTCACTAAATTTTGAGGCAGATTGTTGCAAATAACTTCATATTTCTTTATCTGTCCACTAACACTTGCATTGAGAGTTTTAATTTTGACAATTTTGGTTGATCATTTTCTGGGTGCCAAGTAAATTTCAGTTTTTCTCCTGTCTGTATCTAAACCATACAATTGAATGAGAGATGGCTGGGACACTAAGGAACAGACTTACTTCTGGAACATATTTAATCCTTGATAAAGCTTTTTATTTTAAAATGGTAATTAGTACATTGGCAATACAGTCTATTTTAAAAAGCACTTTTGGGATTTAGGGAGATAAATCAAATCAGTTTAAAAAAATATATATCAATGTATGCCAAATTTTAATTTATGTTAGTAACTATGTTCCTCTGGGAAACAGTCAATATGGTAAGAGGCAAAATTATGCAAAGGTGAAATTCTTTAGTCTTAATTTAAAGGCAACTTTAATTAAAAAGTACTTGATAAAGGAAAGGAAACTAACTTTTATGGACTCCTATTATGTGTTTTGGATACTTTATACAAGCTCATGACAATACTATAACTATTTTTTATTTTATTAATTTCATTTTACTTTTGAATTAGCTATAAATGATTTTTTTTTGGTGGTGGTGGTAGTGATGGTGGTACTGGGGTTTGAACTCAGGATCTTATGCTTGCTAAGCAGGTGCTCTACCACTTGAGCCATGCCACCACTCTCTATAACTTAATTTTTAAATGGGAAGTCATACAATTTGCTTTAGATCACTTAACTGGTAAGTGGTAGGCTGTATTCTACCCAAATCTGACTCATCCAAATCCTGTGATTTGTTGTCCTGTAGAGGTATTCATGGGAAAGAGTCCAGGTCTCCACACATCTTTGAGGAACTAGAAAGTCATTATGGCAGTCACATAGAGCTAGTTTGTTTATGTACTGTTCTGTGGAATATATCCCATTAGTGAGTTTCATTGATTGTCTGCTCTTCTTTTCCTATCATTTCCTCAGTGAGAATCTGGGGAGCTGGGGATAGAGTAAGTAATACCCAACACATCCTAGATGTACTTCAGAGCTTCTACAACTTGAAATGTACATTTGCTTTTGAAAAGCAAATACTTGCCATCGTTAATGATCACCCAATTTATCTCCTACAAAATCCATACTCTATTTTCTTAGGGGAAACCTACCTATAGTGGATTGAGAAAATTGGGGTTTTTGATGTTTTGTTTTTATTCACTTTTTCTTTCTAGTTGAAACTCTAAGTTCCCATTTTGCATTAGTCCATCTGAAATCTTTGAATACTCTATTTAATAATAAGTACAACTATAATTTAAAAATTAAAGTTTGACTGTGCCAGAATTTTCCATATTCCCCCACTCTTTGGACAGGGAGAGTAGCTGGGCACACCCCTTCCCTCCCTCCCGACACACAGGGCAGGTCAAACACTGTTTAGTGGAGTGGCCCTACTGTGCTTCCTACATTCTTTTCTGGAGTCTTTACCCTATGGTGGGTGATGCCATAGGTCATCATTTGGTGACACCATTCATATGGTGCTGAATGACTTGGATTAAAATCTTGGCTGGCTCTTCCCAGCTGAGTTAAACTTCCAAGTTTGTTCTTTTTTTTTTTTGTGGTACTGGGGCTTTAACTCAGGGCCTTCACCTTGAGCCACTCCACCAGCCCTTTTTTGTGAAGGGATTTTCGAGATAGGGTCTCGGGGAACTATGTGCCTGAGCTGGCTTTGAATCACGATCCTCCTGATCTCTGCCTCCTGAGTAGCTATGATCACAGGCATAAGCCACAAGTGCCCGGTTTCCCCGTTTGTTCTTCAGTGCCCTCATTTAACTTGAACTCCCAATTGGTTGTGAGGATTAAATGTAATGTACTCAGAACCATGTTTGATGACAGTACAGAGAAAGTGTTCCATAGATACTAGCTGCTATCTGCCTTAGAGATTTGACTAAAAGGCACTGGACAGGACAGAAAGAGTGAAAGAATTTGATGCCACTGATTAACCATTGCACCAATTACAAGTGGCAATACCTAGATCGAGGCCTGGAGCCTGCACAAAGATATTCTTAAGGTTTATGCCAACAGCCAGGAGGCAATAATCTCTGATAACAATTGAGTCATAACTTGTCTTGGGCAGCTAGGATAGAATTCCTGAGATTAAGTAACTTCAAAAAAAAAAAAAAGGAACAGAGATTTATTTCTTACAGTTCTGGAGGCTGAGAAATCCAAGGTCAAGCCATGTTGGGGAAGATCTTGCTGAATCAACCATAACAAAAGTTGAAAGGAGAGAAAGAGGAGGAGGAGGAGCGGGGTGGGAGAGAGGTGCCAAACTCATCCTTTTATCAAGAACCAATTTCCCTGATAAACCACTCCCTTGATAGCAGCCTTGATCCATTCTAAAACTCCTCTTAAAGGTCTCACCTCTCAACCCTGTTGCATGGAGCAGTAAATTTAGAGCTCATGGGGCTTGGGGGACACATTTAAACCATAGATGGCGTCACTGCACGATTTTATCAATCCGGAGAATTAATAACATAGATGAAAATTTTTTTGACCAAGTTTGTTTAGTGATTTTCCTTTCTTTCAAGTTCTAATTACATTGGCAAGGCAGGGAACCCAAAGGGACCCCAATTGTGGACCATTTCTGTTAACTCATTCATTCAACAAACATTAATTTTGCATCTACCTTGTGCCAGGCACTGCAAAGATGCGCATGACCCCGCAATCTAGTTGGGGAAACAAACAAAAGCATTCATTCTTTAATTCAATAATAATTTAGTGAGTATTTGCCATGCTAGAAGTTCTAAGTTTGGAGCTGGGTATAGTGAACAGAGTAGTCACTGTTCTCATGGAGCTGACATTTTAGGGAAGAGCAGAATAATTCATGAAATTAATATGACACACAACATTCAGCAGATGGTGGTTAAGTACAAAGGAGAAACACAATCCAACGGAGGAACTAAGGAGTGTTGCTGTGGGTGGGTGAGTAATTTAATGTGCAAGACCGGGAAGGCCTTACCCGGAGGAAACTTCAATCTTGAGACAGGTGCAAATCACAGCTCTGCCAAGCCTCTTTATGGGTCCAGCCTAGTCCTTTATCCCCCTTGAAGGCAGCCACTAAACTCCACACTGTTTGAGTGTAAGCTCTCAGAGGGCACAGACTTTATTATCTCTTGTTCATTGCACAGAAGATTACCTATACATACTGACTCAAAAAAATAGCAATAGTAGAGTCAGTTAAGCAGCAAACAATTGTTGAGCACCAGTTCAGCTCCAATCCCCATCTTCAGTATTTACTGAGCACCTCGTATGTGACAGAAGTCTGGTTCTGCCATCGAGGATTATGGATTTCCCATTTCCGTGGGCAATCACATCACACCACACAAATCCCGACGCTCCCAGGGCATACATTAGGGCTCCCGTACGTAGGTCAGGGAGGACTGGGACTTTCCTGGTTGCACTGTAAAGCCATAGTGCAAGTTCACACCCCACTGTTGGTGGGACTGGCTTCACCAGGAGGCTCAGCCCTCAAAGCCTAGAATGTTTGGCCAGCAGGTCACCGAGCTCACTCCCCTTCCCTACTCCCCTCGTGCGACCACGCCTGGACCAAAGCCGAGCCCTGGCTTTAGTAGGCGACCCGGTCCGGGGTGTCACACAAAGTAGGTTCCGTTCCTTCGTCTGGGCATCCAGGACTGTCCGGGCCGTTGCCGCCACCGCCCAGCCCCGCCGCCACCGCCCAGCCCCGCCTCCGGCGCGCCTCTCCCGCAGCCTACGGTCCGTCCGCGGCTCCAGAGGGTGGAACCGAACAAAGGTCCCAGCGATCCCTCCCTCCTCGCTCCCGGCTGCCCAAGCGCCAGCCCAGGCCCAGCGTGCGCGGGGTTCCTCCGACCCGGCGGGCGCCGGCGGGAGCGCGCGGCTTTGGGGACCGAGCGGCGCGCGCGGGTAAGTGCGCGGCAGGCGCCAGCAGCTGGCTCCGCTTCCGCACCCCTCCTCCGCCCGCGGGCCCCCGGCCCAGGGGAGCCCAGTCTCCGGGGACGCCGTCCCCTCTCCTTCTCCAGCCCGACTGCCTCCAGTGCCCCGCAGCTGGAGCAGCTGCAGCGTCGCGTCCATTGTCCCCGATTCCCGGGCCGGGCTCCATCCCATCACCCCGTCTTGTCCCCTACTCGCACCCTCTTCCCCCCTGCCGGCTGCCACTTCCTTCCGTGGATGTTGCAAGCGCAACTGGTACCTCTGTCTCCCCACCCCTGCACCACCTCGTCCCCGCTCCTTCGTTCTTTGTCTTCCGCTTTCTTCCCAGGGTGTCGCGAAAGCTGTCCCCGCACGGGGGCCGATATGGGTGTGGGGGAAAGAGGCCAGCAGCAGGGTAGCATTCAGCCTCTGTGGCAGGGGACGAGTCCCCATCGCCTTGGGCGGGGACGTAGGGAGGAGGCTCCGTATTCCCTGCCTAGGCTGAACAGCTGTCCTGGGGCTTCCTATGGCTCTAACTGGGGGACCCCGATCGTTTCGGGAGCCGCTTTCCCTATGCACCTGAGGGCACCCTGTGAGACCAGAGGGGCAGCTCCTAGAAAGGCGGTCGCTGCGGACTGGGAAAACCAACCAACCAGGCAGCCCGCCTTTCTGAGCCGGGATGGGTGTCTTGGGAGAGCTGCCTCCAGAGGTCGGCGGGCAGACAGACAGAGGCCCAGTTAGACTGGAATGAAAGAAGGGCTGTGAGGTTGGAGAAGCAGCTGAACAAACGCAGAGTAAAATTAGTCGTCTTCAAAATCTTTCCTTCATAACCCACAGGAAATTGTTATGAAGGAAAACTGCCAGAAGGTGAGTGTAGACAATTAGATCTGAGAGAGATGGCTCAGGAGAGGTCTCTGGTCCCTAGGCTCCTGTGCTTGAAGGGGACATTTTTCACAAGTGCACCCCACCTCTCTTCTTTTAGAACTCCCCAGGTGCTCAGAGGGTTCCCCTGTATTCTTAATCAGGCTCCATCTTCTGTTATCCACAAAAGACTGCTGCCTGGCTCTGCCTCATCTTTCAACTTAATGCCTGCCTTGTGACCATCCTTTTTCTTTATTTCACATACTGATTTTTTTTTTTAAGGAAGAGATGATAGAAGATCTTTAATTTGTCTTCTCATTAAAAATAAGCTCAGGTACTGGACTGTACACAAAGAAGAGATAAAGGATGACACCTGTGTTGAATTTAAAAGGCTAAGTTGCACTTTGTCACTTAGAAAACTAAAAATAATTCAGAACGTGCTGACGTTGTTAAGAAAGAGACAATACATGGGTATAACAAATGCTTCATTTCACCAGATAGTGGGGAAATGAAGTTTTCCATGGCAGTGAGTTTTTATTTCCACTCTAATTGAAATTTTACCCTTTCAGCTTTTCTTTGGAGGTACTGGTGCTTGAACTGAGGGCTCCAGCTTGTTAGACAGATGGTCTTACCACTTGAACCACTCCATCACCACTAAAATTTTCTTTTCTTTTTCTTTTTTTGATGGCACTGGGATTTGAACTCAGGGCCTCATTGCTGCCTATGCAGGGTCTTGACCACTCCATCAGCCCTGAAGTTTGAACCTTTCAAATCCACTTTCTTACTTAACAAACTGAATCATAGGTAGCCCAATTTTTTTTTCTTTAAATAAAAAAAATGGAATAGGGACCAGCAGAGCAGGTTAGTCCAGGGCATTGGCTCTGGATTAGCTGGACCTGGGGCAGAACCTTGCCTCAGCACAATTTCTCTGGGTGACATTCAGGACCCTCCAGTCAAAGACCACCAGGAGTGGACAAATAGGGTTTGTTGCAGTGGGGGAGAACTTTGGCTTGCAGGCTTGCAGGGGGCTTTGGAGGGAGGCTTTAAGGAAACAGGGCTTTGTTCTGGGGTAGATGCTGTCAGGAAGTAGAGGGAATTCTATGGTTTTGTATATTCACAAATCTTGTCTAAAAGGAGAGCAGGTCAGAGTGAGGCTGGGTGGTCAAGAAGCAGCAGTTGGGAGACGCGAAGCTGGGAAAAGGGAGGCAGAGGAGGCGGAGGCAGAGCCCGAGCCAGGCGCCGAGAGCCAGCGGCGGACCGGCGGCGTGAGCCCTCCTGCAACCCGCGCCGGGGCCCAGAGGCAGTGGCTCCTCGCCCGCACCCCGGCCTGGCCTGGTAGTCAGGGGCCCGAGAGCAGATCCCGAGGCCGCCTCCGACGAGGGCTAGCCCTTTGGAAGGCGCCTTCAGCAGCAGGACCAGGCAGGCCACCATGACCGAGAACTCCATGTCCACTCCTGCGGCCAAGCCCAAGCGGGCCAAGGCCTCCAAGAAGTCCACAGACCACCCCAAGTATTCAGACATGATCGTGGCGGCCATCCAGGCGGAGAAGAACCACGCGGGCTCCTCGCGCCAGTCCATCCAGAAGTACATCAAAAGCCACTACAAGGTGGGTGAGAACGCCGACTCCCAGATCAAGTTGTCCATCAAGCGCCTGGTGACCACCGGTGTCCTCAAGCAAACCAAAGGGGTGGGGGTCTCGGGCTCCTTCCGGCTGGCCAAGAGCGACGAACCCAAGAGGTCAGTGGCCTTCAAGAAGACCAAGAAGGAAGTCAAGAAGGTGGCCACTCCAAAGAAGGCAGCCAAACCCAAGAAGGCTGCCTCCAAAGCTCCAAGCAAGAAACCCAAAGCCACCCCAGTCAAGAAGGCTAAGAAGAAGACGGCTGCCACGCCCAAGAAAGCCAAAAAACCCAAGGTTGTTAAAGCCAAGCCCGTCAAGGCATCTAAACCCAAGAAGGCCAAACCAGTGAAGCCCAAAGCCAAGTCCAGTGCCAAAAGGGCGGGCAAGAAGAAGTGACAATGAAACCTTTCCCCCCTCTTCTATTTTCTGTAAATACTTTTCTCCTTTCTTCTCTCTTGATCCTCATCTGCAGCCCTTTGCCCATCCTGGTCTGACTTTATAAGGGACAGATTTGGATTCCTCGGAAATCATGGAATAATTCCTTTTTCCCTAACCAGTTGTGCAAGGACAGCAGCCACCAATCTCATCTGCACAAGGATGAGGATGCACTTGGACTTCGTCTTCTTGATTTGCCATTCATCTTAGGGATTGGGATCTGGGTGGGCTCTGTTTTGTTGGGTGGCTTGTTTGTTGTGAAGGTAGATGGGGAGGAAATTGGGCAAGGCTGTACTTTCTGCTGACTGAGGGGCCCAGGAGCTAAGGATGGGAGGATCTTTAGGGCTTTCTTTAAGTTGGGCACCCGTGGAATTTCAGAGCCCTTCTTGGTGGGTGAGCAGTGGGGATCTAGGCCTTCCTTCTCACTCTGTTGTTTGCCCTTTGGCCCACTGTTGTTTTAGGGAGGGTTGGGGTTCTGAGTGACAGCTGGATGGAGAAGCTGTAGCTTCTCCCAGTCAGTGGGAACTAGCCATTGGGGGGTGAGGAGGATCTTTGTGGTTTGGGCAGTCTCTTTATTAAATGGGAGTGAAAATTTTAGGGGAAGGGTGAGGAGTCAGCGAAGTGCCTCAGTGTACCCTTTTAAACTTGGGTTTTTCCACACAATTGACAGATTGCCTCCAGGAGGACTTTTTCTTTCTCCTTGTTTTTTTTGAGCCTCCTGTTTTAAGATGCGGCTTTGCTTGGTTTGATCTGGTGCAGCTTCAGTCCCACACCAGCCTCTTAAAAGCCTCTCACCTCTTTACTTGTGAGTCTTTCTAGGGGGTGTTGCAGTAAGACTCGCTGCAGTTGCTCTGGGTTTGCTAAGTAGCGTAGAGAGCTAGGTCTGATGCATGTGTGTGTATATGTATATATGCCTATCTAGGGCTAGTCCTTATGCCTCGCCAGGAGCTGGGAGAAAAAAAAATGTACAGTTGTCTTTCTCTTATTTTTAATAGGAAAATCGCGCACTTGCGCCCCCTCCCCCTTTTAAACAAGTGTTATTTGTGCCGGGAAAATTTTGCTGTCTTTGTAATTTTAAAACTTTAAAATAAAATTGAAAATGGAAAAAAAAAAAAAAAAAAGAAGCAGCAGTTGGTTACTACCCAAGGCTGGGAGGGAGGTGGCATTTGTCATTTCTGTGGTTGGGACAGCATTCATGTTTGGTTTGTGGTCAGACATGATTACACAGTGGTCTTGTTTTGTCTTGGTTCATAATCAGAGTGGCCTTGCCTCATGTTGATACCCTGTGACAGTGTTCACATTCAGCAAGAGAATACCAGGCCAACTCCTAGCAACCCCAGGGTCTGCCTAATAATGCCAGGCTGATACCTGCTTCTCTATTTCTTTTGATCTTGGGCTTATGATCTCTGAACTTGTTTTCACATCTGCAAAGTGTGGAGAATGTCTACTTCACAAGTTGTGAAGATTAAGTGAGGAAAGGTGTACAAAACATTAGGCTCGATGCCTGGCACATAGGAGAATCTCAACATTCAGTTTTCCCGCTCTTTATCTTGCATATTTATGTGAGAACTGTACTAGCAGACCAAAGCTGCTCTGAAGAAAACCCTATCCTAGCACTGGGGAGGCTGAGGCAGGAGGATCTCAACTTCAAGGGCAGCCGGGACTGTTTAGCCTGTCTCATAAAAAAAACCACCCTGACTCAAAAAAGAAGAGGAAGAGAAAGAAAAGAAGAAAAATCATGAATGGATGGCTGACTTAACAGGGCGAGAGGTCATTGCAGCTTCTCATGCAACCATTACCTTGTAAGGTTCCTTGTTCCCACAAGCCAATGACCCCAAGCTACTGCATGCTTTGTCATCTTTTTTTTTTTTTTTTTTTTTTGCTGCACTGGGGCTTGAACTCAGGGCTTTCACCTTGAGCCACTCCACCAGCCCTTTTTTGTGATGGTTTTTTTCAAAATAGTCTCACAAACTATTTCCCTGAGCTGGCTTTGAACCTCGATCCTCCTGATCTCTGCCTCCTGAGTAGCTGAGTAGCTAGGATTACAAGAATGAGCCACCCTTGAGCCACATGCTTTTTCATCTTTGAGTGTCATCTTGCTTTCTTGGGTTCTTATCCGGGAGTCTGACTCAATCCTTATCAGATTCACTTTGGCTCTCTGAGTTCTAATCTGCTTTGAGCTGGGAGGCCAGACAGGGCAGGCGAATAACACTGTGAGAGCCCAGGATCTGCATAAGGATTGTGAAGTGCAAGTTATTTTTAGCCATGAGCTACTGCTCAAGCTGTCTCCCCGAGACTAGCTTCATGTACTCCCAAGTTGAAGTGCTGTGGAAACTTGGTCATAAGTCCGAATTCTGCTTAGCCTGAGGTATTGCTGTGCTTGTCTGTGTCGGGCAGTCCCTCTATCCATTTGGCCCTGCACCTGTTATTTGATTTTTTTTGGCTACACTAGTTTCTTTAGATGTTGAGATAAGGACGACTGCAGTGTATTGCCTCCTAGTGACACTGCATAAACTCTGTGTATTAAATTTGTAGCCTACATTTTGGCTGATTTCTCTAATATATCAAACGTTCCTAGGTCAAATGTGGTGCTGTGCACCTGTAATCTGAGCAATTAGAAAGCTGAGGCGGGAGGATTGTGTGTTTGACATGGAGAGACCCTGTCTCAAAAACGAAATGAAAGTTCCCAGGGAAAAAAAGCAACAATAGAAAGTAGGCCAAGAACACCAACAGTTAAAATTATAAAAATGCTTAGCTGGGTGTGGGAGCTGGGACAAGACCATCTGTAGTTTGAGGCCATCCTGGGCTACATAGCAAGTTCCAGCACAGTCTGGGCCACATAGCAAGACCCTGTCTCCAGGGGAAAAAGGGGGGTCTGGGGAAGGAGATGCTTTTTTTTTAATTTTTATTGTTTTATTATTCATATGTGCATACAAGGCTTGGGTCATTTCTCCCCCCTTCTCCCACCCCTTCCCTTACCACCCACTCCGCCCCCTCCCTCTACCCCCCACCCCCTCGCTACCCCGCAGAAACTATTTTGCCCTTATCTCTAATTTTGTTGAAGAGAGAGTATAAGCAATAATAGGAAGGACAAGGGTTTTTGCTGGTTGAGATAAGGATAGCTATACAGGGAGTTGACTCACATTGATTTCCTGTGCATGTGTGTTACCTTCTAGGTTAATTCTTTTTGATCTACCCTTTTCTCTAGTTCCTGGTCCCCTTCTCCTATTGGCCTCAGTTGCTTTTAAGGTATCTGCTTTAGTTTCTCTGCGTTAAGGGCAACAAATGCTATCTAGTTTTTTAGGTGTCTTACCTATCCTCACCCCTCCCTTGTGTGCTCTCGCTTTTATCATGTGCTCAAAGTCCAATCCCTAGAAGGAGATGCTTTAAACCAAATAACATATGCTTGCTTTCATTTGTATTAAAATAACAAAACTTAAATTTACACAGTAATCCCATTTCAAACCTAAAGACTGGCAAATATCCTAACATTTGACAGCATACCATTGCTAAGGCTGATAATTTCACACGTTATTCGTAAGACTGCAGATAGGTACAACCCTTGAAATTACCTATATATCTACCTGTTCATCTAGCAAGCCCTCTTCTTGGACACCCGCCCATATATAAAGACATACATATAGTAGTATGTAGTGATATTTTTAAAATAACAAAAATTTGAAAATAATTCAAGTGATAAACTATACAGGTCAGGTTAAATAAACAGAACTCCATCCATCCCTGGGAAGGAGTACCATGCATCTGTAAAGAAGAATGTACTAGCATATTGTTACATGACAAAAAGCAAGATGCAAAACAGCATAAAGCCTCTTTTTAATTTGTATTTGTGTAATTGATTAATTAAACGAGAGTAATGAAGGAAGGGATGAAGAGGAAAAGGATAGATAGGATAAAGGCATGGGTACGAATGGGACTTTTCGATGTACATCCTTTCACAAAGTTTAAACTTTTGCACCATGTAAATATATTATGTATTTAAACATAATGGCAAAAAGAGACCTCTAACTTTAACTTCACCAGGAGAATATTTTCAGAGTCCAAAGATTGGATAGACCTGATTCTAATAAAACCTACAAAGCAATAGCTACCTCCAGTACCTCTCCCTAAAACAACTTATCCTGTCAAGAAGGCAAATTGGCCAGCTTGATGTTAGATGAAACAAAAAAAAAAAACCCATTAAATATTAATTTAGGGATTCTCTTTTTTCACTGTTTGATCCCTCTGGGGGGAACTGCCACATTACTGAGTCTTTGTCCTCCACAACAGATGGGTTTTGCTTCGTTTTTTTAACAGCAAGCCTGACTTCACTTCTACTGTTGCGGGAATCTCAAGCTGAGATATGGAACACTGAGGCAGTTTAGCAGGAAGCAATGTTTAATTGTGCCTACACAGACCCAGCAGACTCGTGTCCAACAGCTGAGCCCTGAGAACAAAGAGGTCTCACCTTATATACCCTTGCAAGCAGGTAACAGAAGCAAAAAGCAAAGCTCAACTTACATATGGCTGCATGTGACTTTATTGGCTATTTCATTTCCCCAGTGCTATGTGACCTTCATGTTTCAATTCTTGAAGTTATCTCTCTGCTTTGCCATCCCCTCCCCATCTCATCATCAGAACACAGCCTGTCTGTTTCTTTTCTGGCCCTTCTCCCTGCTTGCACTACAGAAACCCATCTGGTCTGAAGGTTAGTTAGTAAACTCCTTTCAGCTTGTCCCAGAGAAGAAACTAAAAACTATAAGAAAAGTGATCCCAACCCCAGGGGTAAGCTGAGGTGGGCCATGCAGTGACTCTTCCCTTGGATTAGCAGGAGAATTCTAGCAGGTCACTGGAGAGATCCTGTTTTGGTAAAAGTTCTTTCCTGTTTTAGACAAAATAAGTCCTGCACCTTATCCTTGAGACAATCGCAGCAGTTACAGTCCTATAGTCTCCCCATAGGACTTCTTCCCCAGTCCACCCTGGTGACTGGCTATCCCATCTCATCACCCACCTTGCCCCTGAGATACCTGAAGGACTTCCTAGAGGATCTCTTGTCTTTCATCAGCTCCCCCTCATACTGCCAGAATTCTGGTGAAAACACTAAGCCAGTATCTTTCCTATCCTTAGACTACAGACAGTTCAGAGCATCACCATTTCTTGTCCGTTTTTAATCAGTTTTCCTCCTATCCCTTCCCCATTTTGCTTCTAGAAGATTTTTTAAAGTGACCCATTCTGACTACATTGCTTTCTAGTAATAGCTTCCAATGGCT